TCCAGGTGTTCTAGGGGTTCCAGATGTTCTAGAGGTTCCAGATGTTTTAGGGGTTCCAGGTGTTTTAGGGGTTCAGGTGTTTCAGGGGTTCCAGGTGGTTTAGGGGTTCCAGGTGTTTTAGGGGTTCCAGGTGTTTCAGGGGTTCCAGGTGGTTTAGGGGTTCCAGGTGTTATAGGGGGTTGTGTGTCTATCAGGTGTGTATCATCAGGTTCTCCTCGTTCGGGTGTTCTGGTTGATCCTCTTGCATCGGCTGTTTGCCGAATCGCCTTGCTCCCTTCTCTTCTCAATCTCACCTGTAATCCTCACCCCATGCTTCTTCTCTCCCCCTTCCTTCCCCCCTCCCTTCCCTCCCTACCTCCCCCCCCATCCCCCACACCGCCCCCAGGCCAAGGTGACAGCGATAGCATCGGCCCTCCACCTGGGATTCAACGTGCTGTGGCTGGACACTGTCTTCGTGGGCTGGCTCGCCAGCCCCTACCCCTACCTGCACGCCCTCCCCGCCAACCACAGCCTCCTGTTCAACCCCCTGCTCCCTCCACCTTCCTCCCTCCCCTCCTCCTCCTCCTCCTCCTCGTCCTCGTCCTCTCTCCCCCGCCGGCGCCTGCTAACCACCACCACCACAGCAGCATCAGCATCAGCAGCAGCAGGAGCAACATCTACGCGGCCCAGCAAGTCCCGAGCAGCGCTGGGGTCAGCGGACTGGCACGGGCTGCCCGGTGGGATGGTGTTTGCCCGCGCTCTCCCCCGCGTGCTAGAGCTCTTTGAGGACATGGTCGCGCTCCTCTCGCCCCCCCCTTCCTCCTCCTCCGCCTCCTCACAGTCCTCCGCCCCCCCCACCTCTCCTGCATCTCACTCCTTTGCTGAGCTCCTCTGTGGGCCTGCTGCCAACTCTTGGACACCTATGGATGCTGCTGCTGCTTCTGGTTCTTCTTCTTCCTCCCCCTCCTTTGTGTGCAAACGGAATGCCGGGGCTCAGCCGATATTCGTTAGTTTTCTCAACCCTGCAGGATTCTTACACCCATCCCCTGCCTGTGCGCCTCCTGCTGCTGCTGGTGACACGGCATCAGGAGGAGGAGAAGGCACTGGAGCAGCAGCAGCAGGGGGGATGCCTACGGTTATACCCAAAGGCACATGGCTGGTGCCTCTAGTGTGCCCCGAGCAGCAACAACAGCAGCCAAGATTAGGGGAGGTGGGGAGCGGTGCAGTGACAATGGCAGCGATAAAAGCGCGCATTGACGCCCTTCGGCTGACGGCCTTTGACCCGCGGTCACGGGTGTGTGCGCGGGTTTGGACGGGGCCGTTCCTGCAAGCTATGGCTACGGGAAAGAATTTACGGAAGAAGAAAAAGGCGAAGATGAAAAGCAGACAGGGAGATGGGGGGAATGAGCGAAGGGTTGGATGATTCGGGTGATGGTGATAGATGGATGGATGCTAGGGTTGGATTAGCTCACCACCCTTGAGCTGGCTATTGGCATAATTATCGATGCTTCTGATCTCACTCTTGCATTATAGACTGTCAATTCTGAGTTCGGACTTGTACTCATTTTTTAATTCCTTAGCTACTGCGTACGGATGTTTGTTTTCTACGTGCTAACTGCTATCGGTTCTGCGTCTTGTGCTTCTTATTGCAGGATACACTTACCGAAGTAGGTACCTTTCAACCACGCACCCTGAAATGAGCAACATACGCATGCCTCTCTTCACATGTACCTGTGTTTGGCAGGTGTCCCTGCACACAACCCAAAGCCCGCGCCTTCTCCCGCCGCATTTAGCATGCTGCGCGCAGTTCTCTCCGCGGCCGCCATTCTTCCCGCTTCTACCGCCCGCGCCTGCTCCGCCATTACAGCTCCGCCGCGCTCATCCCTAACTCTTCCCGGCGCATTTCCGAACTCTTCCTGCTCATCCCCCGTCGTTTCCGGTCTCGCGTGCGGCGCTCGTTGCATGGCCAGCAAAGACAAGAAGAAGAAGCAACCACTTGGCGGCGGCGGCGGCGGCGGCGACGGTGGCGGAGGGGGGGGGTTGAGCGGCGGGAAGAGCGGGGGCGGAGGGGAGTCGGCGGCTCTACCAGGGTTTCTGCGCGTGACGGCGAGCGGTGCCGTGTCCGTGGCCATTCACGCCAAGCCTGGGTCGAAACAGGCCGCCGTGATGAGTGAGGCGGGGGAGTGAGAGCGCGCGAGTGAGAGAGGGGGGTTCAAGAGGGGTGTGAGAGGGGGTAGTGAGAGAGGAGGGACAGCGGTGAGGGAGGGGAGTGAGGGAGTGAGGGAGTGAGCGAGTGAGGGAGTGAGGGAGGGGATAGGAGGACGAGGAGAGACGTGGGGTGTCGGGGGGCTGCGGCACATGGCTGCATGCTGTGCCAGTTCCACCAGCACTGACGTGAGGGTTTGCCCCAAGTGACTTGGAGAATGAGACAGCATGCCATGGGGATGGTGGTGGTCACATGACTCATGATGACATGCCCGTTGGTCTTCAGCCTGCGCTCGTGCCTGCCTTTTATGTGTGTGCGTGTGTGTGTGCATGCGTGTGTGGGCATGTGTGTGCAGGTCTTACGGGAGACGCAGTGGGAGTGGCCATTGATGCCCCTGCAAGGGAAGGCGAGGCAAACGCGGCTATACTGGAGTTCATGGCTGATGTGAGCACAAAGGCGCACACGGGGGCACACAGGGGCACACGGGGGCACACGGGGGCACACGGTGCCACATGGGCTCACATGGGGGGGACACATGGGGGAGATGGTAGTGAGGAGACTAAAGTGGAAGGGATTTAAATTTGAGGGAGGGATATTGATGGCCCTTCATGCTTGGCGGCTTTCTATGGATTGCACTTGCTGGGTGCTTGCTTATGTACTTCTGTTTTGTTACCATTGTCCCTTCCTCAGGTGCTTGGAGTGCGCAAGCGACAAGTAAGCCTGCAAATAGGGTCAAGGTCGCGAGAGAAAGTGGTTCTTGTGGAGGGTGTATCCGCACAAGAGGCGCTCTCTTCCCTTCAAAGAGCAATGGGAACTAGGGAATGACACTAGTAGTAGGGATATTACAATTTACAACGTTATGATATACCTCCACCTAAGTATATATTACACAACAGACTAATGTCTTCGAACTAAATGCGAACGTTGATATAGCCCTTATGTCGGGAACCGGGTGATTCTTCCAGTCTCGACAAGTGCGACAGGAAAACAGTAGGAACACGCGCCAAAACGGCCCAATAAACGAAAGCATCTTCATCCAGATTCCTCCAGCGCACCTTGAAAAGGGGGGCGAGGTCTGGAAAGAAGGTTCTCTCCATAAATTGCGAATCTGTCGGTTTGATTTCCGTCTTCTGGTCGGTTCTGCATTGTCGCGTTCGACCAAAAATTGCCTTGTTGTCGTGTGGATTCCCTCGCATCCATCGCATCGGTTCCCTCCACCACACCTGCCCTTTTGGAAAAAGCTGGTTGGTCGCGCACTTTGCCCCTGCCCGCACGCAATGCAACGCGAACCAACCGTTGTTATTCACTCTCCGCCACCAGCGCTGACTGGCTCGCATGAGTCTCGACGTGCCAAGCTTAGACAAGTACTGTTTTGACTCTGCGACGCATTTGAGGTGGTTGATTGGCTGGTTATTGACGACGACATAACCCCCGCCCAACCTTCGTGGGACGAATGGTGCTTGGCGACCCTTACGCAGCATCCCCGTGCCGCTCGGTCCTCCTTTCGCTTGGGTGTCACGGGGCAGATAACGAAAAGATTGTCGTTGACTGTCGTCGAGTGTATGCTTCTCCTCCGTTGGTCGTGGCCGCACCACGTGCTCGCAGGCTGCCCGCCCCGCCACACATTGCTGGCACAGTCACGCCAGCGAATTCCTACCACATTGTTGGATACTATTGCATGAACGATAAAACGCGTAGCGAGCTTTTAACGATAAAATATGTATAGCGTTTTAACTCTAGAAATAATAATGTATATTTATAGCAGCTAGCGATAGGATACTACATAACGACTAACTCGGCATTCCGTCGGACAATAGTCCTCGCTTTGAACGTATGATAAGAAATTGATGGAACTTAAACGATTACGACTGTAAAGAATCATGTTGCTAACCACCACTTGACCCACCCCTCCCATGATCCCATCCCAATCCCTCCTTCCGCGGCACGAGCATTATTCTCCCTCCGTCAAACAGCGCGGTTCGACGCACCGAATGAACGGACGAGCCGTCTTCGATGATCCCTTTCCAGCCATTGGCTCGTCACCCTTCATTCCTGCCTGACGACCCTTCATTCGGCGCACCTGCTGGCAGCAATTACCAGCCACACCCCTTCTCTAGCTGCTTCGCCTGTCCCTGCCTCTGCTGACACCGCTACTTTGCCCCACCAACGGCTTATTGTGGTAGGTGTACTTGTGAGAAGAACCGCCATTTTCTGGCAACCACCCCCCAACCCAAACCAACCCCCCAACGCTCAGCCTGCCACAGGGAGTCTTCTCCACACGCCAGCCAGCGCACATCGCGTGCGCACGCTACCCACAACAGCGCTTTTTCTCCGCTTTCGTGTTGCTTGACTGATTCGCGTTCACCTTCTTTCCACGAGATTTCTTCCCATTCTTCACCAGCTCTCGATTCAACTCCCTTCGCCAGTGCATCACTACCATGCTCGTTTCCTCCTGACGGCGCCATCCCGCTCCTCGATCGGAAAGACCGTTGAAAACGCAACAATCCTAGATCGCCGTCAGTTCCACGGTCATTTCCCCAAGATCTCGGCTATTTCACAACCACTTTTGCTCGTCCCGCTGCAACCATTCAGATCCTCGTGCTCCTCTCAAACACTCGTGCGGTTCCTGATTCGTGAAACCCCCGCCTCTTTGACTTCCTCGTTGGCCCGCTTCACTCCCTAAGCTACGCCTCACTCTCTTCCGCTCGCCGACTCTCTTCTCAGATCGCACCTCGCAGCCAAACCTGCACGCTGGGCTGAATCGCCATCGCTTTTGTGTCGTACGAACTAAACTCAATCGTTCATTCGGACCCCGTTTCCGAGCTAAGCAGCCGGTACTTCAACGAGTGTCACGCGAAGCCAAGCCAAGCCAAGCTTGACCAAGCGAGGAACGAAGATCGAGATATGGAGATTCTGTCGGCCATAGACCACGGCGCGAGCCAGGAGCTGCGGCGCCGCGTGGACGAGTCGATGGACGCCATCCACCGCACGCTCACCAAGTACCGCCCCAACGAGATCGCCTTCAGCTTCAACGGCGGCAAAGACTCCACCGTGAGTCTCTCACTCCCTCTTTCTCTCTCTCGGCAGGCTGCGTCCCGTTCCCCCCAACCCATGTTTTACGCCGTGTAGGCGCTATTCTAGCCGCCATGTAGTGCGCTGATCCATCTCCCATGTATGCTGCCCTTTGGCTTCCTTTCGTTCTTTCCCGCTCGCCCATACATATTTTCGTTTCGGCTTGTGATTTTTTTACCCTCTTTTTTTCCTTTTCCGTTCAATGCGCACAGGTCATATTGCACTTACTGCGCGCAGCCATGGCCTGCAACTGGCCCTCCACGCACCTCCACCGCTGCCGCTCCAACCCCGAGCTCCGCTCCTCCTGCTACTGCGCCCTCTCCGCAACCCACGGCGACGGCTGCGACGGCTGCCACGACAACGACGACGACGACGGCCCGTTCGCGCCGCACACGCTGTCGTCGTCGTCCGACTGCCTCCTGACGCCGCCCTTGCAGGGACGCGTCGCACGGTCGGAGGACGGGGAATACGAGAGCGGCGGGTCGATAAGCATGGGAACCACCGCTACGCTCGATGACGACGCGGAGGCGGAAGTGGGGACGGAAGCGGAAACGGAAGCGGAAGTGGAGGCGGAGGGGAAGATCGGGGGAGCCCCTGACGACGACGGGTGGGAGGGGGAGGCGGACGGGCTGTGCGCAATCTTCTTCCGCGATAAGGACAGCTTCGCGGAGGTGGACGGGTTCACGTTCGACATGGCGCGGCGGTACGGGCTGGCGCTGCTGCAGACGAAGGAGGGGTTCAAGGAGGGCGTCATGGCGCTGCAGCGGAAGCGACCCGTCAAGGCCATCTTCCTCGGCGTGCGGATCAACGATCCCAAAGGGGTAAGCCGCTTCGCTTATGCTGTAGAGCGACACTCCGTCTTACCTTCGATCCCCCCTCGATCTTGCCCGTTCTTTCTTTTTAGAAGCATTGCTACGCCGTTGGCCTACACCTCATCGCACCCTACTTTCACTCATCATCTCGACTGTGTTTTGCTTCGTTCGCTCCTCTTTCCCCGAGCAGAAGGGCCAGCAGGTGTTTGCGGAGAGCTCGCCCGGGTGGCCGCCGTTCATGCGCGTGAACGTGATCCTCAACTGGACCTACAGAGACGTCTGGGAGTTCCTGCTCCTCACCCGCGTGCCCTACTGCTCGCTCTATGATGAAGGGTACGTCCCCCCCCCCCCCCCCCCCCGCCGCGCTCTTCTAACCCGTGCTGCCTTGCCTCATCCGCCATCCGTGCACGCGTTCTTCCTTCCACTCGTCATTATCTTCTTGTTAGTTTCGTTGTCCGCCTTCTGGTTTTGTGGAGGGTTTTCCGGTCGTTTCTTTCTCTTAGCTGCTCGCCATCGTCAGCTCTTGAAATTTATTTGCCCAATCACGTTTCACTTTTGCAGCTACACCTCCATTGGGGGAGTGAGCGATACCGAGCCTAACTCGGCGCTTCGGAAGGCCAGCAGCATCCGCACACTCCCACCGGGTCTGTGCCCGTACCTGTGGCTTCTGGCAGAGGCCACAGCAGACCAAGGGGACCGTTGCAGGAACTGCCCCTTCCTTCCTGCCTACTGCCTGACAGACGAGTCTCTCGAGCGAGCAGGCAGGCACAAGAAGGATGCACCCAAGGAACAAGGTGCAGGGAAGACGGTTGGCTCTGCTCCTGCGACTGCTGCTGGGGATCCTGGGAAAGAGAATGTGGGTGAGGAGGTGAGGGGTCAGGGCAAAGGAGACAAGCCAGTTGAAGGGAAGGCCAATGGAGAGCTTAAGGACCATGCTCCCACTGCTCTGCGCAGTGCCCTTGTGGTGGTTTGAGCTTATGGAGCACCTATTGGAAACTGGCATTGTTTCTTGTGTTGCATATGCAGCACTCTTGGCCTGGACGGAGCAATGTACATAATTTGATATTCAGGTGTCTAGAATCTGTATAGATAATGGCATGTGCTAACTAGTGTAGTTCTGTTCTAGACTGCATTTTCTATTTGTAAGGAATTTTCCATTCCTTGGCGTGTCGCACCGCTAATGCATACTTCTAACCCACATGGCACCAACTGTCAAACATGTGTATTTGTCATGTTTGTATAGACTGTATAGGGTCACCTCTTAGAGTGTACAACACTTAGGTATATCTGTGTGTACCCTCACTCTACAATCATACTCTTCTCTGATTTTGATATGGTATCACGCGTAGGTTAGGATCCCCCCCCCCCCCCACCTACCGCTTCCGCTCGCCCCCCTAGCTAGGCCCCGCCGCGCCTCGCCCCTAGCCCCGTCGTGCCCCTAGCCCCTCGCGACCCCCTGGGCCCCGTCGCGCCCCTCCTGGACCCCGTAGCGCCCCTCCTGGGCCCCGTCGCGCCCCTCCTGGGCCCCGTCGCGCCCCTCCTGGGCCCCCTCGCGCACCTCCTGGGCCTCGTCACGCCCCTCCTGGGCCCCGTCGCGCCCCTCCTGGGCCCCGTAGCGCCCCTCCTGGGGCCCGTCGTGCCCGTCCTGGGCCTCGTAGCGCCCCTCCTGGGCCTCGTCGCGCCCCTTCTGGGCCACGTAGCGCCCCTCCTGGGCCCCGTCGCGTCCCTCTTGGGCCCCGTAGCGCCCCTCCTGGGCCCCGTAGCGCCCCTCCTGGGCCCCGTAGCGCCCCTCCTGGGCCCCGTAGCGCCCCTCCTGGGCCCCGTCGAGCCCCTCTTGGGCCCCGTCACGCCTTCCGGCCCCGTCGCACCAGCCCGGCCCCGTCGCGCCCGCCCGGCCCCGTCGCACCCTGCCCGGCCCCGTCCCAGCCGCCCGGCCCCGTCGCACCGGCCCGCCCCTGTCGCACCCGCCCGGCCCCGTCGCCCCAGCCCGGCCCCGTCGCGCCCGCCCGGCCCCGTCGCCCCGGCCCGGCCCTGTCGCACCAGCCCGGCCCCGTCGCGCCCGCCCGGCCCCGTCGCGCCCGCCCGGCCCCGTCGCCCTCGTCCGGCCCTGTCGCACCTGCCCGGCACCGCCGCGCCCGCCCGGCCCCGTCGCATCCGCCTGGCCCCGTTGCACCGGCCCGGCCCCTGCGCTCGTCCCTGCCCCGGCCCCGTCCTCCTCACTGGTACGGTTCCCCCCCCCGCCCTGCACTGCCCTGCACCGTGCCGCCCCGCACCAACCTGTACTGCCTTGCACCGCACTGCACCGCACTGTACCGCACTGCACCGCACTACACCGCACTGTACCGCACTGCACCGCACTGCACCGTACTGCACCGCACTGCACCGCCCTGTACCGCCCTGCACCTCACTGGACTGTTCATGATGGCGGCGGAGCTTCGCTTCGACGCTGAAGGTCAGCCTCTAGAGTTCGAGGCGTGGCTTGCCGACCACCGCCGCCAACTCACTGGCCAGCGGCAGGATGGTGAACCGCTTTCCGCACACCTTGACGGTACGCTCCCCTGCCCAGACCCCCCTGCTATTCTGCCCGCTGACCCCACACCCACTGAGCGCGAGTCTACTGCTGCCACTGCCCGTGCGCGCTCTGTCAGGCTTTCTCGCGATGCTGTCGCCCAGCTTGCCATTAGCAACGCCCTCCCCCAGTCCGAGCGCCCTCGCTTTAGGTCCCTCACTACTGCTCAGGCATACTTAGATGCTGTCATCCAGCGCTATTCCACCCCTCCGGCTGCCTCGGTGGGTCGCCTGATCCTCCCGATGCTCTTTCCTGACCTTGCATCTTTCCCCACTGTCTCTGACCTCGCTGCCCACCTGCGCTCGATAGAGGAGACCTGGCGCGCTGCCTGCACTGACGCACAGCTTAGAGCCCACCAGCCGCCCATTACCTCTACCCTCTACCTGCTTGCCACCCGCCTCCCTGACCACCTTGCTGTCGCCCGCGACCGCTTCCTTAGCATTCACCCCGCAGACCTCACCCTCACTGACTTTGTAGACACCCTGACTGTGATAGAGACCCGTCACCGCTCCATCGCCCAGGCGAGTGGTGTCGTGACGGTCCCTATCTTTCAGGGTTGTGCCCCCGCCCAGTGTACCTTCTCCGACGGCTCTGTCGCAGTGGCTGAGACTGCTGCTGCAGCGCAGTTTCGTTCGGGGAAGGGCCGCCGCCCCAAGGTTGGGCGCGGCGGAGGCGGAGGCGGGGGTGCGGGAGGGGGTAGTGGTGGGGTCGGGTCGTCTGGTGCTGGAGCGGACGAGGGGACCCTGCCCAGTCCAGCTGAGCCGCCGCCCCTGCAGTTGCAGCAGCCGCAGCAGCCGCCGCAGCAGCCGCAGTCGCAGCCTTCGCAGCAGCCGCAGCAGCCGTCGCAGACGCGGCAGACGAGTGTCCTCCCGCCCGGGTGGCCCGGCGCAAGCGGTGGCCGGGCGCGTGGTGGTGTGCCGAGTGGTAGCTCTAGCGGCGGGCGCTGTCAGTACCAGATCCAGACCGGTCCTCGTCGCGGCTTCGTTTGCGGTAAGATCGGTCACTCCACTCCCCGCTGTTTTCGTCGCCTGGACGACCTCTTTCGTCAGCGCTTCGGCGCGTCCCCAGACCTCCCGGACTGGCACAGTTTGCTTAGTTGTAAGATTCAGATTTTTGATATGGACATGGATGCCATTGTTTCTGCTCTGCATGTGATGTATGCTGATGACTCTAGTGTGCTTCCAGCTTATTACTCATTGTTGCCTAGTGTAGGTGTGCCTAACGTACCCTCCCCTGCTGCGTCAGGCGTAGGATCCCCTGATTTGTGTAGTCTTGGTGCTTCCGCCGTCGTTCCGTTGCCAGACGCCTCTGCTTCGCTTTCCTTCACCTTGGACTCTGGAGCTTCTCGGTGTTTCTTCCGCGACTCCACCACCCTGACGCCGCTTCCTGTTCCTGCTGCCGTTTCTCTTGCTGACCCCTCCGGCGGTCCGGTAGTCGCCCGCAGTTCCACCACCCTTCCCTGTCCGGCGGTTCCTTCGGGCACTCTCACAGGTCTGCATATCCCCTCGTTCTCCAGGAACCTAGTTGGTGTCGGCTGCCTCCAGGACCTTGGCGTCACCACTACGTTCCCTGGTCACGAGCGGTATGCTGTCTGTACCGAGGCCGCCACTGGTGCCCCCCTGTCCACGTTCCCCCGGGACCCGGTGTCCGGCCTATTCACTCTGGACACCGTGACCCCCCCGGCTGGAGTGCTCACCCAGGTTGCTGCTGCCTGCTCCTGTCGGTCCCTCACTCACCCGACCCTCCTTTGGCACCACCGCCTAGGTCACCCTGCGCTCCCGCGTCTGCGTCACATGTCCCAGCACGGTCTTGTCCTTGGTCTCCCAGGTTCTCTCCCCGCGTTCCCCTCCTCCCCAGCCCCACCTTGCACGCCTTGCGTCGAGGGTCGGCTTCGCCGTGCCCCTCACTCCTCCTCATTTCCCCCTACCGCCGCGCCGCTGCAGACCCTACACCTGGACGTCTGGGGCCCCGCCCCCGTCCCTGGGCCGCGTCGAGAGCGCTACTTCCTTGTGCTCGTCGACGACTTCACTCGTTACACCACAGTCTTTCCCCTGGAGCGCAAGGCCGACGTGCCTGGCGCTCTCATCCCCTGGCTTGTCTCTGCGCGTGTCCACCGCGGTCTCCCTGTCTTGCGCCTTCACTCAGACCGTGGTGGCGAGTTTGCCTCAGGTGTCCTTGGTCGCTTTTGTCGTGCGGAGCGCATCACCCAGACGTTCACCCTACCGGACTCCCACAGCAGAATGGGGTCGCTGAGCGACGCATCGGTTTGGTCATGGAGGTGGCCCGCACCTCCATGATCCATGCTGGTGCACCCCATTTTCTGTGGCCGTTCGCCGTTCGCTTCGCTGCTCACCAGCTTAACCTGTGGCCGCACCCCCAGCAGCCGCAGGTTTCGCCGACCCGTCTTTGGACTGGGTCTCCTGGTGACGCGTCTGCGTTCCACGTCTGGGGCTGCCTTGCTCACGTCCGTGCCTCCGGCACGGACAAGCTCACTGCCCGCACCCTTCCCTGCGTCTTCCTCGGTTTTCCCCTTGACGCGTCCGACTGGCACTTTTACCACCCGCCGTCTCACCGCTTCTTTCACTCTCGTGACGCCACTTTTGACGAGTCTGTCCCCTACTACCGTCGCTTCCCCCACCGTGGTCCCCAGGTTATCCCCCCCCTGTTCCTGGCCACTCCTTCCCCGGTAGTCCCTGCCCCTCCTCCTCCTCCTCCCCGTCCCGCACCCTCTGGTGTGTCCCACGTCACCCCCCTTCCGTCGGTGGACCCGGTTGAGGAGTCTTCTGACTCTGGTAGCCCTCCTGTGAAGTCCTCCCCGGCTGCCCCTCCCCCGGCGTCCCCTCCCCAGTCCCCTCCTCCACCGCCTCTGCCGCCGCTGCAGCCGTCGTTGTCGCTGCCGCCGCCGCCGCTGCCGCCGCCACCGCCGCCGCCGCCGCCGCCGCCGCCTTCGCAGCACCTGTTCGCTGACTCTGGGGGTGCTCGTCCCGGTCGCCCAGGGGGTGGTCCCTCTGGGGGTGCTGGTGTGGAGAGTGCCGGTGGTAGCCGAGGAGCTGCTTGCGGTCCAGGTGTCGCCGTTGTGCCGCCACAGCAGCAGTCCCCGCCGGTGTCAGCCCTTCGCCTGCTCGGCCTTTCGTCCCCCGACCCTGCATTTGTTCCTCCCCGACCGTCTCCTCCTCTTCCTGTCTACGGCCCTGTTTTCCCTCCGCCGGACTCGTCCCCGACCTGTCTCCCCCCTCGTTCCCCACCTGTGTCCCCTCCCCTGTCCCCTGACCCCACTCCTCCGTCGCACGTCTGGTCTCACCGTCCCTCCCGTGCTCGTCCTGCCTCGACTGTCTTGCGCTCCCACCCTATGTTGCTTTGTTCCCACGCGTCTCGTCCTCCCCTTCTGCCGTCGCCTCCTCCGTCCTCCCTTGTTGTTGCACCCCCCCCGCTGTCTGACTACCTTCGTGCCTCTCGTCCCCTTGTTCCTCGGGTCCTTGCCTCTCTCGTTACCGACCCGTCTGTTCCGGTCTCGTGCCTTGACGCTCTTGTCGCTGCTGTCGCTGACTTCGCCTCTACCCGCCGCCTTGACTACGCCACCGCTCTGGTCTCTGACCCTGCCTGTCCTCCGTC